TAGACTATAATAGGATGGTGGAAAGAGAAAGAGAGAGAGAGTAAAAAAAAAAAATTAGAGAAAGAGAGAAAAAAGGAGGAGATGAAAGTTGTCGAGGGTTGAAAAATAAGTATTGCAAAAGCGTGGCGTTTGTATTATTATTATTATTATTATTATATTTTTTCCTCCCTTTTTTTGTTTTTTTTTTTTGTCGCGAAAATACAAAACGAAAAAGAAAAAAGAAAGAGTAAGAGAGACAGAGAGAGAAAAAAAAAATAAACGTTTCGATTAATTTAAAAAAAAAAAAAATTAAAAAAAAAGTTTTATTATTATTATTATTATTATTATTATTATTATTATTATTATTATTAATATTATTATTATTATTATTATTAATTTATAAATAAAATTATTTGCTCTCTGCAAACGATCCGTTTATTTGTTCCGACTAATTTATTAAAAAAAAAAATTTTCGTCTTTTTTTTGACAAATGTCTTGGAAAAACTTGGAAAAGGAAAGAAGGAAAAAAAACCACGAATTTCTTTCATTAATTAATTCAAATCTTTTTTTTGAGCAAAAAAAAAAATTTTAAAGCCAGCAAAAAATTAAATCGTTAATTAATATCTCAATTTATTAAAACAATGAAACGTTTATAAAAAAAGGAGAAGTAGGAGAAAATTATTATTATTAAAACTTTTTATTGGCCGTTAAAAAAAAATGAACGATGACAAAAATTAAATAAAATCCGTCCGCAACGAGGATTTCAATTCGATTCAATTTTTTTTTCCTTTTGCTATTATTCAAAAAAATTAAATTTTAACAAAAGGAAAAAAAAAAAAAAAATCTGTCGGTGACAAGTTTAGTGTTATCATCGCGAGAGTGCGACATGATGGTAAATTTAATTATTTTTTGGTAATTACCTTCATATCGTTTATTTTTTCCGTTTGTTTTATGTTTAAATTTTTTTTTTCCATTTTTATCTTTTCCATTTTATTTAAATTTAATGTTACTTCCCCCTCACCTCCCTCCCCCTCCATTCCTTCCTCGTTTTTTATCAAAACGACAGCAAAAGAAAAATTGATAAGATTATATTATAATGGAATTTCTCGTGCGAAACACTTTTGAGAGATTTTTTTTTTTATTATTTCTTTTCCTTTATTCGCAAATTTTCTTTTGTCGTTAATACTCGGATTGTTTTTTTACTTATCAAAATTGATAAGTGAAAAAAAGCAGAAGACAGTTGTTTTGTTTTTTTTTAATTTTCCCCCGAAAAAATTAATATAAATTATTTTAAGAAAAGAGAGAGAATTAAAGTGATGGAGGAGTTTCTAGAAAAAAGAGAAAGAGGAAGAAAAAAGAAAAAAAAACAAGAGAGAGAGAGAGAAATAATAATAATAATAATATTTTTATGTAAAATTTGACATTAAAAATAATAATAATAATAATAATAATCAAATTCAAAAATATTTTACTTAATTTTTTTCATTTTCGAAAACAAAAATTTAAATGATTTAATCTTAAAGTATACAACAATTATACAATGAAAATAATTTAATTAAGGATTTAATTAAATTTTATTAATTAATAAATAACTAAAATAAAAAAATCTTGATGAACGTACGAAACGCGTTTCGGCATAACACAAAATTATTTAATAATCTCTTTTATCAAAATGAGAGAGAGAGAGAAGAAGAAAATTTCCTTTTTTTGTTTAAATTAATATGTAAATTTATTACACGTTCCGGAAAATAATTCTTTAATAGTGAGATGAAATGGATGATGATGAAATGACAATTCAACATCCCAAAGGAATATTTTACATAATGTCTAAATCTAATGTTTTTCTCGTGTCAAAACTTTTGGACACACGCACGCACACGCACTCACACACGCACGCAATATTGTTTCAGAGGAATTAAATACAACTCTTGTAAAATATAATTTTCAACGAGAAATTATTTCAAATTTTACTAAAATTAGATAGTACTAATAACTACTTTAAAATTCCTTTCATCTCCCGCCCCTCCCACCTCCTCCTCCCCTCCCCAACTCCTCCCTTCAACGTTCCACAAAACGATGATGATGATGATGATGATGAAAATGAATTTTTATAAAATTATTTCCGAATTTTAATAGAAAAAATTAATTTTTTTCAATTTGCGAAAAAAAGTAGCAGGGTTTTTTTTGCGAGGGGGGAAGGAAGGGAGTAAAACGCGGGGAGTCGTGTATCAAAAGGAAAAAAAATTCTATTAAAAATTTTAAATTTTATTATTATTATTATTATTAAATATTTAAATATTAAATGAAAAGTAAAAAAAAAAAAAAGATTTTTTTTTTAACATCAAGCGAAAGATAAAATTATTAAAATAATTATTTATTTATTATCAAAGATTTATTAATTAATAATAATAATAATAATAATGATGATGATGATGATGAGGATATTTAAAATAAAATTTATTTATGTTTATTCATATATATAAAATGAATTTTTTAGTGTTTCATTTTAAATGATACAACAACTCGAGGGTTTTTTTTTTTTACTTTCCTTTGTTCCGTCTTAGACGATTTAATTTAATGGTTTTACCTTTGTGAGAGTATAAAGTGGGGTAGAAGGACTTTTTCAAAAAGGCAAGAAAATAACATTTTATTTAATTAATTTTAAGTAATTATTATTTTTAATTACCTTTACCTGAAAAATTTTTTCAGTAATTTTTTATAATTTTATTTTTTTTTTACTTTAAAAGATTTTTTTTTTTTACGGATGGAATAAAAAAGAGAAAATTCGAACGAGAGAGAGAGAGAGAGGGAGAAGGGGGAGATGGGGGTGAAAGAGAGAGAAATGGTAAAAAAAAAAATGATTTTACCGATTTTGTTACGAAAAACATTGAAAAAAATTGTTTTTTTTTCCATTTGCCCTTAAGGTCTTTCACTCTCACTCTGTAAAAATCATAAAAATTTTTTTTTTTTTTATCAAAACCGAAACGCGGATTTTTTTAAAAATTCGGTTCAAAAATTAAATTTAAAAAATTATCCTTAAGCGGGAAAATAATAATAATAATTACAATTCACGTCATCAAATTAATTTTTTTTTTTTTTACTCCTGGAATATTATTATTATTATACACTGGAGAATTTAATTAACTTTTTTTTCCCCTTTTTTCCCTTTTTTTATTTTTATTTTTATTAATTTCATCATATGTAAATAATATTATTCAAACATTTTATTTCTTTTATTTCGTTTATTTATTAATAAAATGATTCGACGATAATAATAATAATAATAATAATAATAATAATAATAATAATAATAATAATTTTTTAATTTCCGCTTTTCCTTCACGTAAAAAAAAAATATTATTTTTATACAAGTTTATAATATAGATAAAAGTCCATGGTGGAAAGATAAAATTGTAATTATTATTATTATTATTATTATTATTATTATTATTATTATTATTTACGAATAATAATAATAATAATAATAATAATAATAATAATAATAATAATAATAAATACTTTGAATACGTGTATACATATATATGTCAAAAATATCGTTGTACATAATTTAAATTTACACAAATTATCCAAGAAAATCTTTTCAGGATTTTCAAGCATTTTTTACACGAGGATTATTATAAAACGTTTTAATGAAACAAAGCGTAAATTATTTATTTATTTATTTTTAAATAATGAATAACAATCGACAATACGTCGTTTACAATAAAGCAGACAAAACAAAAAACGCGTATTTTGTAAAAATCGTTGAAACCGCCTCAATAACAAAACAAACAAAGCGAGGAAAATATCTGGAAAAAAAAAGTCACCGTAAGAAAAGATTTATTTGTGACGTCATAAAACGTGACGTTTTTTTGTGTTATAATTATCGATTCTTAATGTGAAATGAGTTAATTAATTAATTAATTTGAGGTCGTTGAATTTGAATAAAAACGGGGTGTATTAGTATTATTATTTGATTAAATTTTACTTCACTCGTTAAAAAATAAACTAATATGGTGGTAAATAAATTTTAAAATCGGAATTATATTTACGTAAATAAATAACCTTTTAATAATAATTGATAGTTTCCACGGCAGAGTATAAAAATAAAAGTTAAAGTTAAAAAAAGGAATTCGTGGACGACAAATCGAATTCGAAACCCTGGAGAAATAAACAAATGACAAGCGGTGAGAAACCTCGTTTTAATTTTTCCTGCGGGAACTCTTAGTCACTGTTATTTTTTTTTTTTGTTTTAATTCTATGGCGTCGGAAAGCTAATTTAAACAAAACAAAAAAAAACGATAAATTTAAATTTTAGGATAAAAAAAAATGATAACGATAATGATAACAAAAAAAAGTTAATAAATTTATTAATTTAATTAATTTTTTGTTTTTTTCAATTCCAGGAAGTTAATATAAGAAGATATTAAATGGCTTCAACAGAGGATGAAATGAACATAATTGAAACGACAACCGAAAGAGATGATGAAATAAATGAAACGAATAACAATAATAATAATAATAATAGTAATAGTAATGGTAGTAATAATAATAATAATTTTGATACGAATGAAAACGTGAAAAGTTTAACGACGGATAATAATAGAAATAAGGATGAGGAGTCGGGAGGAATTGAAAATAAATTGGAAAAAAGGAAAAAATTTTTTCAACAGTATTTTTATCAACAGAATTATCAGGAAGCTCTTAGGTCATTGCTTTGGGAACCCTACGATTGTCGTAATCACGATTCTAATCCTTGGTACTACGCTAATTTTTTAGATAACGAACCAAATAAATCCGTTAAAACCTCCTCCGAAGTGCCTAAAAATAATTTTACGTCCTTGTCTGAATCGTCCGTATCATCCTATTCCAGTTATTCGTCATTGGATGAAATATTAACAGTGGAATTAACGCAAAAATGTGCCTTGGATTCCGAATCTGGTTGTAATTATAATATTGAAATCCCAAAAGAAATAAAAAAAAAATGTTCTTACGTTAAATTGGGAAAAGATATAATAACAATGAAAACAAATGATAATAATAATCGTATATATATTGACAATGAACTAGGAGAAGAAAAAGATTTTGCTTGCGGGTTTTCCGAATACAGATGTTCAGGCGACCCAGTTAGTCAAAATCTAATGAATTTAGAAATAATGGTCAGTGACCTCGAAGAACGATGTGGAGAAGGCGGAACAGTTAGTACAAATGGTGGCCACTACGGAGCGCATAAATCGAATGCTAAGGAAATATGTGCCAGCGGTATTCAGTATGAGATTAGTTGTTGTGAGAGTCAAGTTGGTGTTTGTCGTCGCGATAAAAATGTATTAACTACGGTAGACAATATGTTAGTGACTGTGGAGGGGACGTTAGAACCGAGAGATTCCCACGAAGGAACTCAATTGGTATCCCCCGATACTTCGTTGGATTTAAACGATAATCCGGTTCGTTTATCGGGTCAAAATCGCGGCGTGGAACCTGGTCCGTCGTCGGGAAATGTAAGTGTCGTTAACTGTTATCGAGCGGTTCCAGTTTCCGTTGTGTCGACCGTTCCGACGATCAAGTGCCTTAATACTCAAGAAAATATATCCAACGTACACATAATTCAAACAAGTTCAAGTTCCGAACAAAAATTATCTAATACATCCGGTCTATCTGTACAGTCGAAAAGATTACCAGTTCGTTCGGATAATGTATCGAACGCGGGGCATAACGGTGGACAATGCGTGGGTCCAAGCACGTCAAGAGCTCGAACCAAAGTTCCAAGAGATGTTAGTCGAATTCAAAATCGTCATAGTGTTAACGGTGAACAAAATGCGGTGATTCGGTGTGCTCCGACAAAAATCGAAAGGGAAAGACCGAAAAGTATGAATTCTTGTGCAAGTGAAATAACTCCTGATCAATCGAACGCGGCGCCCAATTTGTGCGAAACCCTTCCAACCAGTTCGAACAATAATAGTTCAATATTATTATCTAATCACAATCGATCCGTTTCGAATCCGGTATTAGGAAATCAAGCAAAACCTTTATCCAATAGGTATGGAAGCCACCAAAACATACCGATTCGGTTGGAAACTCATTTTGGTCCGAACAGTTCGGATGGAACGGAACGTTCTCAAACGTACGTTTCTCAAAGAATCGTTACGAATTCGGATTCTCATCATCAGGGTCAAGAAAGGCCTCCGGATCAAAATGCGGGAAATACCGTGTCGAGTCCCAGAACGTACACGTCGACGGAAGCACAAACGGATGATGTTTCGCTAGGGATTCACCCTCAAATAAATCGCGAGCAAAGAAGGCGCGAACGTCGTGAAAGACGTCATCAGCGTCGTTTGCACCAAAGTGTTTTAAATAGTGGTAGTGTATGGCAATCTAATGTGGATGTGGTTCACAGGGATCGAAGGGGATTACCAGATATATTAAATTCGCACATGCCGCCACCGTATTCGGCGGTTCCCGTACCAGCCATCCCAGCGATGCCATCTCCAATGCACGTGCCTCCCCCGTTACCGGTTGCACCCGGTCCTCAAACGATGCCTCATTTGGTAGATTCATCTCCCGGACAGCCTTTACCACATCAGAACGGTCTTCGATTTCTATTTCCGTTTCCAGGAGGAAGAAGGTAAGATTATTACTATTTATTTATATATATTTTTTTAAAAATTTGAAACCATTATGCATACAAAAGCAAATCGAACGTTATTAATTTCCCACAACACGAATAATGATAATAATAATAATAATAATAATAAATTTAACATTCAAATCGATTTAAGATCTCCTTTTACTTGATTTTATAACCCCAAGGCAATCCTGTTACAATACATGTACTATCAAAAGCAATTGAATGATTCGTGCCAAAGGTCAGACTCTTTAAATCGTAAAAGAAATTTAAAAAAAAAAAAACAGTGAAAAGAAAGAAAGAAAGAAAGAAAGAAAGGAAGGGAGGTAAAATAAAAACAAAAAGTAAAGAAGAAATAAGTAGTTACCTTGTTTATCGAACCAATACGACGGCAGCTGTTTTTTTTTTTTTTTTTTAACGAGAAAATTAAGGTGGGGCATCAAATTCGAAAGAATTGATTAATAATAAATGATATTGGTATGCCCAGCCTGGCAACATCAACACAAACAAACACCCCATTCCTGTAAAGGTGATATAAATTGCATCCGGCCGAACTCATATCGGTTTTGTGTAC